CCCGAGGGAAGCCGGCGCTCCGGATGGTGCCAGCCCGATGCTCGTGCCCTGAGCCGGGTTCGGTCCGGCCTGGAGGGTCCCTGGGGTGTCTGTTGGATTCGCTCCCCTAAGGGCCAGGCCCCCCTGGAGTGACTCAGAGCCTCCCTTGCGTTGGCAGCTCACAGGGGGCATCGGCTTCATCCATCACAACTGCACCCCGGAGTTCCAGGCCAACGAAGTGCGGAAGGTGAAGGTAGGTGACCGAGGGCAGCGGTGAGCGGTGCGCGGGCTCCCCGCAGGAGCAGGGGGTGGTTTCGACCCTCCAGAGAGGCTGTGGGATGAGCTGTGCCTGCTAGAGGAGACCTTTAACATCTGCCAGGTCTCAGCACTTCGGAGCAGAGCAGTTCCCACACAAATCCCTTGTGTGTCAGGTGTTGTCCTGCACACGGCTGGGGCCAAGAGCTGTGGCCAGGCCTCCTCAGTGAGGGAACATCAAATATATGTATGCATATATATATTTGTATATGTGTGTGTGTGTGTGTGTATACATATATATATATATATATATATGGGGGGACATATTCCTCAGAAAGGAGGCTAGTCTGGGGACTCCCTGCAATCAGATACTACCCAAGTTAGCCCGGCTGCTGTTTTGTGAGTCCTCCTGTTGGCGAACATCTGAGCAGACCAGGTGCCACATGGTGGCCGCATGGTCCGGGTGTCCCCCTTGTGCTCAGTGTGGCCGCGCTGCTTATTGCCTGCTGAATCCTTCTCCTTGCAGAAATACGAGCAGGGATTCATCACGGACCCCGTGGTGCTGAGCCCCAACGACAGAGTGCGGGATGTGTTTGAAGCGAAAGCTCGGCACGGATTCTGCGGCATTCCCATCACGGACAACGGGAAGATGGGGGGGAAGCTGGTGGGGATCATCTCATCTCGCGATATCGACTTCCTGAAAGAGTCAGAGCACGACTTGCCCCTTGGAGAGGTGAGAAGGGCCTGTGAGCAGCTGCAGGCTGTGAGCATTGAACAGCTTGCGATAAGGAAAGGGACTGAAATGTGGCTGCGGGGGACGGTGCCAGCTGGAGCTGGTGGGCGCCACGTTAGCTCTGCGCATTGGTCTGTATTTTAGTCCCAGGGCTGGAGTGTTCTCTCCGTGAGCCTTGCCAAGGGCTTGCAGATAAAAGAAAAGCTGTGCAGTTTGTGTGTGTGGCCGTGGGGCTTTCCTTCAGTGCTGTGGGAGCAATCTGCCCCTCCAGGCTGCCGTGCACCCTCCTGTGCTTCCGTAGCTGCTATTCCTGGCTGCTGCTGTTGTCCTGTTTTGGGTCCACTCTAAAGAGCAGGCCCTCCATGTGCAGGTCTTTCTCAACTGGGCAGCCTTTCCCTTTGTGCCCCATCTAGGCTATTCACCCTTCAAAATAATTCCCTGAGATAGCTTAGCTTTTACAATGCTGCAGAAATACCCTTTTCAGAACCGTGTCCTCTCCCGTGCAGGTGTTGATTTCAGTTACTTTTGGTATTTGTGTTACACGAAACCGTAGATCCGCGAGATTGTCAGGTTACGCCGACGGTGCCTCCCTGTCAGCCTCTGCTCGTGGCTCAGGACTATTTTTAGCTCTTTCTGGCCAGATCGGGCATCACATGCTCTTCCCCGCTTGCTTTGAAATCGCCTATAAATATCCCTAACAGGAGCCCTAAAACCGGGGTGGTTTCAAAAGTGCTCGTGGCCCCAAAGAGAGACTCCCCCATTCGGAAGATCCAGATAAGAAGCTTGTCCCGCCCTTGGCCTGGGTCATTTGGCTCTGCAGAGGTGGAAAGTTGCTCGTGTTGCCGCTCACCGCTCCCCTCTGCCACCGGCAAAGCCAAGGAGGGGGGTGTCTCATAGCCCTGCTCCCCCAGAGGTTAAACAGGGTTCCCTTTTAACCTTGTCTGGCCTTTTAGAGTAACCTTTTATGAAAATATCCTGTGTGAAACGTGTCTGCTCGTGGAATGCTGTAGCCGGGAGGAAGGGACCTCTGGAGGTCTCTAGTCCAGCGCCCTGCTCGAAGCAGGTTCCACTGGAGCAGCTTTCCAGGTTGTATCTGGTTGAGGGTCCAGTGGCTCCAGGGATGGAGATTTTCCCCTCCTCACCGGCCCTCTGTTCCAGCACTTGCCCGTCCTCTTGGCAAGCGCTTTTGCTCCTTATATAAGCCAGAATTTCACATGTTCCAATTTGTGTCCGTTGCCCCTTATCTCTGCACTGTGTTTTGGTGCTTGTTTATCAGAGCGAACGTGGGCGACAGTTTGGCTTCAGGTGACTCCTTTGCCCCATTGACCTTCGCGGCAGCCGTGGGTTATTCTGAGCAGAGCCGGTGACTGGGGCATGGGGGCGGCTGCTGTTGTTCCCACACAGCGTGGGGCTGTGCAAGTACCTCCAGCCCCTATTTACCCACCCCTATTAAAAGCGAGGGCTATTTGGGCGATGTTCCAAACCAGTGTCATCTGCGAGTCCTCCCTTGCTTCCAGGTGCTCCCCCGCAGCCTGCTGAGACCCTCTGTCCCCTCTCTTCTCACTGCTGCAGTGGGTTGGGGGCTGCAGGTGACGTTTAGTCGGGCAGCTCCTGCGTGGAGCTGGGTGCTGCGGGCCGTGTGTTTGTGTTGCTGCGCTGCAGAGCGCTCCCACGCGCTGCTGGGGGAGCAGAGGCTTCTCACATCAGCGCAGAGGGGTTTTGTGACGCTTTGTCTTCTCTCTCCCACTAGATAATGACAAAGCGGGAGGATCTTGTTGTGGCCCCGGCCGGAGTAATGTTGAAAGAAGCCAATGAAATTCTGCAGAGGAGTAAAAAAGGTACCTGCGGGTGTCTGCGTGACGGAAGGGAGAGCTGTGGAAGCGCTGGCGTGGGAGCAGCAGAGAGCCGTGGGCGCGCACGTCTGTGCGTGGGCGGAACACGGCAGGGCCGCGTGCCCCCGGGG